ATTTTTTTTTACAATGTGCTGTTATGGTAAACAATGAATATATATACACATATGACTATTTGCATTTTAAGCAATTTTCTTCTTAAGTATTCATAGTTGAGAGATTAAGAAGGAGAAACATTTTCAAATTTTCCATTTCACCCATAATGCTCATACCTTTATTCAGAGTGTTGGAGAACCTACAGGTAGTCCCTGTTCTCCCAGTGTATTTCCTTCTTTAAGGTCACTTATTATAGGTGGTAAAGGAAGCAGAAGAGGCAACACAGATAACCACCATTATATTTGGTTCATTATCAAATAGTGTGTAAAATTTATTCACGGGTTAAGAAGTAGAGGGAAGTTATTGGGATATGCCCCAATGTAAAAAAATACTATGGTTTGTAATTTTAAATTTAATGTGAAATCTAAACCATGGATAGAATATGAAAATTCACTACGTTTATGAAATTTGGAAGCAGTTTTTTCTACTCAGGAAAAAGATACCTAAAATACATTTTGTGGGTGTGTAGCAAACTTAACATTCCCTGCTGGCTGGAGATGCTAACAGATGCTTAGATGAAAGTATGCTGTAAGTTTAATTACCTAGATAATTGCTATAACCATCTAGTGGATTTTTCTATTTAGATCTGTCCATACAGATAATGTGCAATTAATGAGAATTAGCACTGCCAAATTATTGTAAATGTGAGTTATAAAAATGTGATGCCTTATGGTCTAGATTAAACTGCAGGCACTCAACAATAATTATTTCTGTAATGAGTTTGATAGAGACTACAAGCACTCTTTCCTTCTAGATAGTTAAGTAGGACCTTAGAATTTAGGGAGTGAAGAATATACATGGCAGATGTGACCTGGGATGCCTTCTGGAGAATACTTGGGCTATGTGTCTCCCAAAACTCATGCTCCCAAAAGAGAGTACAGAAATCTTCAGAAGTGAAATGATTAGATCAGGAGAGTCATAACCTAAGTGGTAGATTAATCCATTTGATGGATTAATGGGAAGTAACTGTAGGCAGATAGTGAAGGAAGTAGGTCATTGGGGGCATTCCTTTATAGTTTATGTTTTTTCCCCTGGCACCTCTCCCTCCCAGGACTCCCGACCTTTCCTGACTCTACTTTCTGTCTTGAACTGAGCTGCTTTCCTCTATCACACCCTTCTGCTATGATTTCTGCCTCAACTTTGGCCCAGAGCTATGGAATAGGCCAACCATGAACTGAGGCTTTGAAACTAAGCCAAAATAAACTTTTCCTCCCCTAAGTTGTTCTTGTCAGGTGTATTGGTCACAGAAATACAAAGCTGACTAAAACAGTCACAAAAATTCCCTGGTACTGCCCCTTGGTTTTCCACACCATTTGCCATCCCCACCCACTGACAACCAGTCTGGTTTTGCCTTTTCCGGATATAAACAAAATATGTTATATTATGTAAATGGAATTGTATAATATGTTATCTTTTATGTGTGGCTTCTTTCATTTAGCTGCTTAAAATTTATCCGTATTGCTGCTCCCATCAATGGAATGTGTATTGAATAGTGTTCCATTGGTGCAAATAGACCACAGTTCATTTATCCATTTACCAGGTAGAGGTCATATGGCTTCCTTGAAGTTTTTGTTGTCTATTAATAAAACTGCCATAAATATTTGCATGTAAGTTTTTATGTGAACATAGTTTTTGTTTCTCTTGGATAGATATCTCAAAAGGGATTGCTGGGTGATATGAAAGTGTGTATTTAACTTTATAAAAAACTCAGTGATTTTCCAGAGTGACTATATACACAGAAGTTTTATTCCTCTCCTGCACCCAAACTGTATTTTATCAGTTTGTTGTGTTGTTTTGCTTGCTAGTTGGTTTTATTTTAGCTCTGCAAATGGGTGTCTAGAGGCATGTTGTCATTTTAAATTTGCATTTCTCAAATGAAAAAATGACTTTGGTGATGTCTGACAGTTAATTGAGGGTATTTACATATTAATTTAATGCAATAAGTGATATGGCTGGTTTAATTCTATTATCTTGCTTTTTTGTTATCTATTTTTCCATCTGTTATTTCATTTTTCCTTATTATCCGTCTTCCTTTGGATAAATTGAGTAGTTTTATGGTACCATTTTATCTCTTTGTGGGTTGTTAGATATGCATCTTTGTTTTATCATTTTGATATTTTTAGGGGTTTGCATTATAATATTTTGTTTATTATAGTTCATCTTCAAGTGGATTTTATCATTTCACTTGTACACAGTAGCATACTTCCAATCTCTCACCCAGCTTTTATGCTGTTGTTGGAAAACATTTTCCTATACATTTGCTAAAAACCTCCATAATACATTGTATCATTGTTGTTTGAACAATCAATTGAAGAGATATAAGTAGTTAGGAAAAATCATATATGGTTATCCACAGAGTTTCCATATCTGGTCCTTTCAGACCCTTATGTAAGTGCACGCTTTTATCTGGTATAATTCTTCTTCTAAATTGAAGTAGCTTCTTTAACATACTTTTATACTACAGGTGTCCAGGTGGTAAGTGATTTAAGTTTGGGGTGTCTGAAAACATCTTGATGTTGCCTTCATTCCGAAAAATAATTTGAATACAGAATTTACATTCATTATTTTAACATTTCTATACAATGCAGCATCTACCAAACATTGATCCTAATGAGAAACCTATTGCTCTCCTTTCTTTTGTTTCCCCTGGTGCTAAGGATTAAACCCAGAACCTTGTGCATGCTAAACAAGTGTTCTCCCACTGAGATACATGCTCATCCCTGCTTGCTAATTCTTGATTAACTGTCAGACATTGTGCATTTAATCATGTGGATTTTCTATATTTGTGTTCCTATACATTTTCTTGAGGTTTATTTTCAAGCTGCTGTTAAGTTATCTGTAGTCAAGTATTCATTTCTGGTCCTCTTTTCAACATGTAGTTAGGCAGCCAGGTCTGACCAAGTGCTCAGTCTAGGCTCAATAACTTGCACTATTTAAAAAAGACTTCTTTGTGTGCTTTATCTTGTGCCCTTGGATCATTGGTTTTTCCCACTTGGCAGGTAGGAACTGGCACTATTTTTGTTCCTATCTTGGTGTTTAGAATCTTATCCTAAGTAAAACAAAAAAGTCTCAAAGAGAGATTTTTTAACTGAAAAAAAATAACATTCCTTTCTTATAATTTAGTATTATATATATGGATTAAAATTTAAAACTATGTTGTATTTAAATTTTAGGGGCTATTTATTTCAGGACTTCTTCCATTACATTCATTAAAGTTTATACTCTGTCAAGGTAATGTGCTTATTTCTGTGAATGTATGGTCAGCAAAACATTGGAAATGTAATAGTATACTTTTTGAGATTAAAAAACTAAACACAATATTCTTCTCAAAGTAGTTTCACATAGATCATACATTATCTTCTAAATTATGGTGTTTTCATTTCATATTGTCTGGAGAGAAGGAACTATTGATAATAAAATAAAAAGGTGGTTATATGTTTTGGTGAAATTTAACTTTGGCAGGCATTGCAAACCTGCTTAATCTTTTTTTAATGCTTTTAGAGGCTTTATGAAGTGTGGAATCTTTAATAATGGTGTGTATTTACTATGTTAACAATATAATACATATCAGTGGTCATAAGGTTGTGCATTTTCATTTTATTGTAAAAAAGAGACAAAAACATACTTGCCTTCATATTATATTATAGATATGAAACAGAAAAATTATTAAATGACAAAGGTAATGTTTCTAATGACATGTTTACTGAACTTGATAAATTTAAAATGAGATGAGTCTAGGAAATTCAGTGCATTGAAAGTACATTCAGTGATAAGAATAGATGACAAGTTATCATAATTGTATATACATTTGTATGGGGAATAAAAAAATCATTCATCTACTTATTTCTTAATGGAGAAAGATAACATCAGATTTCTTAACCATATGCAATTATTCTAAAGATAGATGTGCACATTTTACTCTCTGATAGCTTAACAAAAAACTACTTTGCCAACATCCAAAAGATCTTCCACATTGAAACATTATTATTTCACATTTACTGTTAGAGTATTAAAATGAAATTTCAAATTGCCTTTATTAGTTCAAATGGAAAATACTGTACTATACTTTATCAACTTCCATAAATGAAGATGAATGTCTATCTTTTATGACTTTTGTGACTTCTAAGCATGTGTAGAAATTTAATTTATTTTTTAAAAAATGAATGATTTAAACTTAAAATGCTCTTGAGTGTTTACAAAATGTGTTCAGTGGTATCTTAACCAAGCTGGGAGGACCCTGGGAGCCATGGAACTTCTGAGTGAGAGCTCTCCATGTCACATTAAGGTGAGCTGCCACCACCTCTACTGGTGATGGTTGCTGATGCAGATTTTTTAAAATTTATTTTTACTATTTGACTTTGTCTTTTATTGAGATTTTACCACCTTTTTTCATTTTAGCTGATCACTTTTTTTGAGTTTTTTCAAGACATTAAAAGGAAAATTTATAGCTTGACAAGATGCCTTATCTTGCATTTGAAGATACACTCTTCACGTAGTATACATATAATCTCCCCAAGAGAGATTGTATTGTTATGTCCATTTTAATGGGTGGCAAAGAAAAAAAAAAGGACTGACTGAAGAATTTAGGCAAAATTTGCCTATACAATTCACTTCACTCTTCTTTTGAGGTAGTCATGAGAGTGGCCTGACCACTTAGTGAATACAGGTTAAGCTATTTCAGTGTCCAACTATGTCTTCCATACAATGTAAACTTTCCAGTAAAGCAAAAAGTACATATGCTGAAATGGAGAATTTCTTCTTCATCAGTGTTATGTCTTCTTCATTCCTACATGACTAAATGAGATGGAATGTCTTTGAGCCTGTAGGTTTGTTGGAAATCCCTGCATTTGGAGAACTAGTTAGTTACAGGCATAGACTATCCTAATACTTCTATAAAAGGGAAATAAAATTTGTTCTTTTACTAATCAATATCTTTCTCTCTTTTTTTTCTGTTTTACAGACCACCACTCTGCAGGTATAATTTTACACTTAAAGAGGGAAAAGAAATATTTCTTAAACTACGCGCATGTACAGCAAAGAATATTTAAACTCCTTCTCCCATCAACTGTAAACTTATTTGTGAATTAAAGAACTTTTAAATTAGAAAAATACCATCATTCTTTCTTTTAGAATGCATTGTTCAATCAGATGCATTGAGTTCTTAAGTAAAATTTTTAGAATCAAGAATATTAAAAATAAAAATGCATATGAAAAAACATTCTGAATATATTCTAAAGCAGTTTATTTCTCTTTACCTCATCTACTTCCTAAGTCATAGACTTACCATTGAATGTTTACCTCAATTTGTTATTTTAGTAAATATGTTCACCAAAACATTTTCTAAAGGAAAAATGGTGAAGAACTTAGTGGGTCCCTTCTAATCAATATCATTGTACAACTCTGCAGTAATAAATTAATTTTTAAAAAAATTATGAATTTGGGCTAATGTAATCTTTGTAAATATAAATACTTGGTACTTTTGGTAAAGTTTTGTAAATAAAGGATTTGCTAGTATGGAGCATAATAAATAAATAACATATAGGCCTCTAAACTTATGTTTAAATCCTGTGTTCATTATTTATTAATGTTGAAATCCTGAGTAAGTTAATTTATTTTACCATGTCTCAATCATCTAAGGAAATTTTGTGAAGATTGACTCAATAAAGCACTTTGAATAGTGTATGTCTATAATAATGATAATAAGAATGATGATAGCTATTACATATATTTATCATTGTGTTCTTGGAAAATATTAATTAGTTTAATATTACAAAAACTCATGAAGTTAGTCTTGTTTTCTCCATAGATGAAGAAACTAAGGCCTAGAAATGTTCACTGACTTACCGAGGATCACACATAGAACCAGAATTCAAACCTAAGAAGTTTGGGTTCATAGTTTTTTTTGTTTCTTCAAAGTTTGATGAGTGTTAACCATATTAGCAGCCATATTTATTAATGATCACAGTCAAAATAATAATATGAACACGGTTGAAATTTTCCAACTTATCTGTTCAGTTCAAGAATTTCTGAGCAAGGATCCCTCTCACTTATGTTTCAATGCTCTGTCTTTTATGTTTTCCTCTGAAGCAGACTATCAACAATAGTCAGTATCTGTAGTATTTATTGTCTACTGTTATGGTTTGCATATGAAGTGTCCTCTAATAAACTCAGGTAATAGACAATGAGGAATGGCCAGAGGTGAAAGGATTTGATTATGTGAACAGTGACCTAATCAGTGGATTAATCCATTTGATGGATTAATACTTTAAAAGGACTACTTACTGGGTGATAACTGGGGCATGACAGGAGGAAGTAGGGCTCTGAGGCATGCTATTAGGGATTACATCTAGTCCCCTGGGTTCAAGTTTCTCTCTCTGTCTGCTTCCTGGCTGCTATGAGGTAAGCAGCTTTCTTTCACCAGTCCCTTCTGCCATGATGCTCTGCCTTACCTGGGCCACAGAGCAATGAAGTTGGTCAACCACGGACTTAACCTCTGTAACTGTGAACACAAAACTAACTTTTCATCCTCTAATTTGTTATTGTCTCGTGTCTTAGACACAGCAATGAAAAGTTAACTAACATACCTCCTATATTAGTTTTTCATAGATTCCAGAATAAAATACCATATATTGAGGGGTTGAAGCAACAGAAATGTATTTTCTCAGCATTCTGGAGCCTAGGAGTGCAGGATCAAGAGTTGGCAGGTTTGGTTTCCTGTGAGGCCTCTCTCCTTGAAATGCAGATGGCTTCCTTCTTGTTGTGTCTTTTTAAGGCCTTTCTTATGTGCATATTTATCCTGTGTCTCTGTATCCAAATTTTCTCTTGTTGTAAGGTTGCCTGCCAGAATGGATTAGGGTCTACCCCAATGGCCTCATTTTAAATTAATCGTTACTATAAAGGTCCTATCCCTAAATATAGTCACATTTGGAAGTAGTGAGAGCTAGGGTTTTAACATGAATTATAAGGGTACACATTTGAGTATGTAACACTTGCCATGAACCCTTAACTTAATTACCCTCTTGAAGGTGAACTGGGGCCATTATGGGGTGCCCACCTGGAAAATACTGACTGTGAAGTCCTTGAGGTTATCAGTTACATGCTCTAGGCAGAAACACAAAGATGCTTCACTGTTTACCTACGGATTTAAGAAGTGTTGCCTGCACCTCTACTAAATGACTGTACTTCAGGAAAACAGCTCCTTTGATTTTTGCTGTCGTCCTTCACTCCATAGGCCCATGACTATAGTCCACAGAGATACCTTCTCTCTCCTTTCTGACACTGACATGTCTGCTCACAGCCTTTCCACATTCTTAAGCAAACCCACAAACTCTTATGTAATTTCATTTTTTTATAATGATACTCTCCATTAATTTTTGAGATATTCCTAGAAGCTTTTGAATCTCACAATGATATTAGAATAATTTAAAATAAAATAAAAATACTATAGATATGCTTCTAGGGATACCAGAAGTGTTCCTGATTGCTTACAGTCTCTGGGCATTAGGAAAAACAGTAGCCTACTTTTCTCATAGGATATTGGACCACTTTATCTTCATAATGAAACTTCCATCCACAAGTGATTCAATCTTCCAAGGATAACTCAAAGATGAAGATGTTTACAGGTTTTCACATTGCCATGCCTTCTAACTTTTTTTCAGGGTAAAAATTGGCCTGAATAAAGAGCCTTTGGAGTTTGCATTTATGGTAGTGAGGGAAATAAATTCCTGTGACCCCTAAGTTTATAGCACCCAAACAAATAATGTACTCATATCCCCCCCAAAAAAAATTTTTTTGCAAAACCTGTAGATTACAAAATGAATGTAAGGAGGAAAAAATTGCACTTTTGTGGGGGACCATAGTGAAGCACAGGTATTCTAAAAAAATTATCTGGAACAACAAATGAGCAAGTGGCCATTATGTACAAAATATATTATGCCAGATTGCCTTGATGACATGATGCTCTAGGTCAGATCCAGAAACATGCAAAGAGACTAGTGATTTAATTCTCTATTCCTTAGATGCCTACTCAGCCCAGGTCACAGAACTTGACTAAATACTACCTTTTAAAACCTCTCAAGAAGGCAGTTTGAAAAAAAAATTAAAAAAAAATAAAAAAGAAGGCAGTTTGATTATATTTTTGTTAATGTTTTAATATAAAGTTATTTAATCTAATTAAATAAGACCTATTTTATTAATGGGACTTATTTTAATTGAATTATAAACTTCATATAAAAATGTCATCGATAAAGCGATCTTTGTTACTTTGGCTTTGAGGCTTTGATTTTTGCTCTTTTAAAAAACAACACTTCAAAACATTAAAAAAAAATAATGTTACCTAGATAGCTATGTAAGGTTTCTAAGTTACTGAAAAATCACTTAAATGTGTGTTGCCAGTATATACTAGGTATAATTATATTCATGTATGTATAATTATAGTAATAGAAGTGTCATATTTTTGGCTTTTGCATTAATCCTGTTCTTTCACATTATTACAACAATAATAGAAAAAAACACAACGAGTATTTACTGTGTTAGTTTTCCATTGCTGTGACAAAATACCTGAGAAAATAAAAGGAGGAAAGACTTATTGTAGCTCATGTTTCAGAGGTTTCAGTATACTGTCAGCTGGCTCTGTTGTTTTTGAGCCTGATGGAAGGCAGAACATCATGATGAGCATATGTACTTGGAAAGTTCTAAACATCTCATGGTGACTGGGAAGCAAGAAAAGAGAGGAGAGGAAGAGACCGGATCCCAATATCCCCTTTGAAAACATGCACCAATGACCTAATTTCCTTGCATTAGTCCTTATATCTTGAAAACTTCCACCACCTCCCAATGGGGCCATCAACTTGGGACCAAGCCTAAACACATGATCCTTTGGGGGACATTGAAGATTCAAACCAAAACGCTTTCTGTGTACCAAATTGTACATTAAGTCCTTACTTGGAACATCTCATGGATCCTTATAAATGCCCTATAGAGCAACTTCAGGTACTCAGAGGAGACAAAAAGGAAAAAAAAAATCCTTTGAATGATTGAAAATACTGGAAAAATATTGTTGTGTTTTGATTGTTATATATTAAGTAAATAATGAGCATTGTATAAATTCATGAATGAATAAATTAACGAATGGATGAACAAAAAGTCAAATCCTCTACAAAGGGCATATAGGACAACAGGGAGTTTTAAGTAATAGTGATGTGGCTGGTGTTTGCCAAGTGACAAGAATTTGCTGAATGTGACCATTTTGGCAAATTGACCGTCACTCATGCTGTTTTTCTGTTTGTGCTTTTAGGTTCTTAGGATTAAGACACTGCTAAAAATTCTCCAGTACTTGAGTCCTGCCCAAGATAAATATGACTTGCTTTTTCAAGTGACCTAATCATTGTTAGAGAACATTAAGGAATGGTTCTGGAGTTATGAGATGTAGGACCGCAAAGCACAGATAACATTTTCATTCATAATTTTTTCCCTGTAAACATGTGGGATATGAAAAAAGAAGAAAATCTGGTAGGTGAACAGCTGGTCATGCAGATGGTGTTGACGAACTGAATTTGGATTTCTGTATCATGGTTTAAGTTTTTGGAATGCTAGACTCTTGGCTTAAGGTAGAATTTTATCTCACAAGGACATGAAAGAATGTATTTGCATTCAGGCTAGCAGTCATGATTAAAGTGCTTTAAATGGAACACAACATTGCAGAAAGTGTTTGAAGATTCAAAGCAACCAATCACTCACCCAGATTCACTAGGATTCTATTGAATACTCTTCTATGTTTCTTTGGTCCTCATTAGCACATTCCAGTTCTTAGCTTGGATTTGTCCTAACATCTTTCTTCTCAGTTGGGACCTTTCCTTTGCTTTCTTTGTGGTTAATTTATCTGTCCCAAGCCTAATACTACATTTACCTTTGCTTCCTGCCCTATTTACTGGATATTTCTGTCCATGTCTGTGTTCTAGCCTGGATATTACAAATCTCTGCTAATTTGTCTGTATCCATCATGGGAATGTGAGCTTCCTGAGAGTAGGAAGTTTTAGATTGTATATCTTTGTATTGTTAGGTCTCAGTGAATGGCTGGCTTATTATAAAGGCACCATAAATATTTGTTCAATGCCAAATGCCAAATGAAATAAACGAAGCAGGAA